GGTTAAAACTCGTTTAAATAGGAGGTCCCCCGAGTTTTTTGGGTTTCCCTTTGTGTCTTCTTATCTCCCCTGGGGAAATGGAAAAAAAAATTCCTTTTCCCCCGGAAGCTTTTCCCTGTTGTTTTTGAGGCGACTACCAAAGCCGGGGGGCAAAGAGTTGTAATCCCTTCTCCCGGTGTAAATTACTAAAATTTTTAAAAAAAAAGGAACTTTTGTTTTTCTTTTTGGGGGCCCCCCTGGGCCCTTTGGGGAAAAGACGGCTGGGGGCCCTTGAAAAAAAAAAACCCTTTTTTATCCCCTTTCCAAATTTTTTTTTTTTTTTTTTTTTTCTGTTGAAAGTCTCTGTAGTATTTTTACATTTTTGATCTTATTTTCCCTGCTTCTGTATCCCCTCTGGCACTTTATTTATTTAGGTTGTTAAAAAGAGTATAAACAATTATTGTTCCTTATTAAAGAAAATGCCTATAGGGGGACCAAACAACTTATGAAAAATTGAGTTTTACAACATTTTTGCACTTATGGACTTTGGTCTGTAAGAAGTAAAAAATTTTAAAAAAAGCAGTAAATTTTTTTGAAAACGGCAACCTGAAAAATTTTAAAACCCGTCCCTTTTTAAAAAATTTCCCATTTAGGAAAAAAAATTTTTGGATGTTGTTTTCGAATGGGTAAGAAAGAGATGATTGTGGATGTTTTTGAATGGAAGAAGGGTGGATATCCTGGCTTTTAAATTTAAACCCAAAGGCCCGAAAAGGGGGGGGTGGGGTTTTTTAGTGGAGGGGGAAAAAAATGGGATTAGGTCAGGGGTTTTTTTATTTGAGTTAGAGCTAAAGAAGGTTTGGGAATAAAGTTTAAAGGGTAAACTTTTGGGAGGGAAAAAAAGGGGGGGGCATAAAAGATTAAATTTAAGGGAAAATTTTGTGGAGTTAAAAAAGAAGGTTGGATGTGAGAAGGGGTTATAGTAAGCATTTTTTTGCCAAAGGGGGGAAAAAGAAAAAAATATAGAGGAGAGAGAGGGTTTTGGGAAAAAGTTTTTAGTTTAAATTTCCCGGGGAGTTTTGGGGCCAAGTGTGAGAGTACTTGTGGTTTTGGGGGTTTTAAAAGCTAAAAAAAGGGGGGGGAAAAAAAAATTTTTTGGGGGGGAGTAAAAGGGGTTTAAAATTTTGGGGTTGCCAGGGGGAAATTGGGGAAAATGGGGGGGCTTTTTAGCTAGGTGTAGGAAAAAAGGTTTGGTTTAAAAAAAATTTCATAAATTTTATGAAAAAAAAGGATAATAAATTTTACAAAAGGGATTTATGTTAGGACGTAAAAATTTTAAAGTAGTTTGTTTTTGGGTTTTGTTTGGGTTGGATGAAAGGTTGATGGGGAGGCCCAGGGGTTTAAAAAGGTTTTTAGAGGGGCAAATGGGTAATCGGATCATTTACCTTAAAATTTTACTTTCGTTAGAGTAAAAAGGTTAGATGGGATTTAAAAGGAAAAAAAGGGAACAACAAGAGGGGTGAAAATGTATATTTTAAGGGAGGAGGAAAGTTCGGGTGAAAAAAAAGGCCCAAATATTGGGAGAAAAGGGGGGCCCTTGCAGGTATTGTAGTGGGGGGGGGGGGGGGGTTTTGGAAAAAGGGGGTTGGGGGAAAAGTTTTAAAAATGCAGTATTAGAATGTGGGGCAGAAAGTTTTTGGATATAGGAGGGTGGGGGTGAGGGGGAAAGAGGAGTGATTGGTGGAATGATGAAGTAAAAAGGGGGTGGCCCAAAAAAGAAAAAAATTAGTTATGAGAGGTTTTTTAAAAAAGCAGAAGTGTTTTTAAAAAGATTAGGTACCCGTGGAACCCCCAAAACCCCGGGTATTAAATTCCCTTTCCCGAGAAATCATCGGGTTTGTCAAAAAAAATCGTTAGTAAAATTTTAAATTTTTCCCCTAAGAAATACAAATGGACCCCCACTTAAAAGATCACTCCAAATGGGCCCCAAATTTTGAAGGGGTATTTTATGTAAGGGGCGTTTGTTAAGGGGTATGTTTGGGGGTTTTTGAAATGGACTAATCTACTTCACAATATTCCTTATGGGAAAAAATTCGGTCAGTACTGGCACCTGAACATACTACTGGAATGAAAAAAGTTCGTTAACCGGGGGTCCACTGTAATGGAAATCAAATTAATCCGTGCAAGACACCCAAAAGTATTGAAAAAAAAATTTTTTACCACATGAAATATTAATTTTAATACACACAAACTGAAGATTACATGCACAGTTACATGACACTTACCTTTATTGAAGATCTGGTGATGATTGATGGGATGGGAGGAGGGGAGAGCGTTATCTCCTTACTGTTTAGAAGGGGAATCCCCTTCCATTAGCACTTGAGGCAGCAAGTCTTTTTCTGGGGTTACTTCCCTTGTTCTTTTAATGCCACTAGGACCAGCTTGAGAGTCACTGGACTTCTGTCGCACAACATATCTGTCCATAGAGGCCTGTACCTCTCGTCCCTTTATGACTTTCCTAAAGTGGTTCACAACAGTGTCATTGTACAGGTTGCCAACACGGCTTGCAGTAGCTGTCTGAAGGTTATTTTCATCAAAAAAGCTTTGCAATTCAAGCCACTTTGCACACATTTCCCTAATGGGAGTGCCTTTTCCTCCTGAGTAATGTATGTCCTGCTTGGCATTTTCTTCCAAAACAGGCCTGTTTCGTCACAATTAAACACTTGTTCAGGTTTCAGTCTTTCACTGTCTATGTACTCCTTGAAGTCCTGCACATATTTTTCAGCCGATTTGTGGTCCGAACTGGCAGCCTCACCATGCCTTATCACACTATGAATGCCACTACGCTTCTTAAATCTCTCAAACCAACCTTTGCTGGCCTTAAATTCACTCACATCACTAGTTGCTGGCATTTTTTTAATAAATCGTCATGCAACTTCTAGCCTTTTCACATTATGACCACTTGAGAGATGCTGTCTCCTGCTATCTGTTTCTCGTTTATCCACACCAATAACAGTCTCTCAACATCTTCGAGTACTTGCGATCTCAGTTTCGAAAACATAGTTGCACCTTTGGCAAGAACAGCTTCCTTGATTGCCGTTTTCTTGCCACAATATGTAGCGATGGCTGATTGGGGTTTATTATACAACCTGACCAGCTCAGAGATACGCACTCCACTTTCATATTTATCAATGATCTCTTTCTTCATCTCCATAGTAATTCTCACCTTTTTTGCTGTAGGGTTGGCACTAGAAGCTTTCTTGGGGCCCATGGTGACTTATTTTGCAGGTGCAATCACTAAAAAGGCTGTGATAATATGAAATGTTCCAGTTGTATGTTTGGAAGCGACCGCAGTGGCTGGCTGGCACCAAAAGGACAAGTGAGGCGCGCTCAGGCCAAAGTGGACGCGTATGGTACAGAACGAAAAGCGCTGGTCGGGTTTTTAAGCACTAGTCGAGGCAAAATTTTTGCGTTTAAATGAATCGCTAGTCAGATTAATCGTTAATCGATGCAATCGCTGGTTGAGGGTCCACTGTATATGGAGAGTAAAAGAAAGGTAAAGAGAGTGGTGAGAGAGTGCAAAAGGAGAGCGGATGAAAGAGTGCGAGAGGTACTGACAAGGAATTTTAATGAGAATAAGAAAAAAATTTGGAGTGAGTTAAACAAGTTAAGAAAGCCTAGGGAGCAAATGGATTTATCAGTTAAAAACTGAAAAGGGGAGCTAGTAGATGGGGAGATGGAGGTTTTGGGTAGATAGCGAGAATATTTTGAGGAACTTTAAATGTCGACGAAGAAAGGGAGGCGGTAATTTCATGCACTGGCCAGGAAGGTAAATCATTTTTTAGGAGTGAAGAAGAGCAGGGTGTGAGTGTGGGGGGAGGTGCATGAGGCATTACATAGAATGAAAGGGGGTAAAGCAGCTGGAACTGACGAGATCATGACAGAAATGTTAAAAGCAGGGGGGATATAGTGTTGGAGTGGTTGGTATTTTTGTTTAATAAATGTTATGAAAGAGGGGAAGGTACCTAGGGGTTGGCAGAGAGCATGTATAGTCCCTTTATATAAAGGGAAGGGGGACAAAAGAGATTGTAAAAATTATAGAGGAATAAGTTTACTGGGTAAGACAGAATGTAGAATTGCGGATGAGCAAGGAGGTTTTAGAGTGGGTAGGGGATGTGTAGATCAAGTGTTTACATTGAAGCATATATGTGAGCAGTATTTAGATAAAGGTAAGGAAGCTCTTATTGCATTTATGGATTTAGAAAAGGCATATGACAGAGTGGATAGGGGAGCAATGTGGCAGATGTTGCAAGTACATATATATGGAATAGGTGGTAAGTTACTAAATGCTGTAAAGAGTTTTTATGAGGATAGTGAGGCTCAGGTTAGGGTGTGTAGAACAGAGGGAGACTACTTCCTGGTAAAAGTAGGTCTTAGACAGGGATGTGTAATGTCACCATGGTTGTTTAATATATTTATAGATATGGTTGTAAAAGAAGTAAATGCTAGGGTGTTCGGGAGAGGGGTGGGATTAAATTTTGGGGAATCAAATTCAGAATGGGAATTGACACAGTTACTCTTTGCTGATGATACTGTGCTTATGGGAGATTCTAAAGAAAAATTGCAAAGGTTAGTGGATGAGTTTGGGAGTGTATGTAAAGGTAGAAAGTTGAAAGTGAACATAGAAAAGAGTAAGGTGATGAGAGTACCAAATGATTTAGATAAAGAAAAATTGGATATCAAATTGGGGAGGAGGAGTATGGAATAAGTGAATGTTTTCAGATATTTGGGAGTTGACGTGTCAGCGGATGGATTTATGAAGGATGAGGTTAATCATAGAATTGATGAAGGAAAAGAGGTGAGTGGTGCATTGAGGTATATGTGGAGGCAAAAAATGTTATCTATGGAGGCAAAGAAGGGAATGTATGAAAGTATAGTAGTACCAACACTCTTATATGGGTGTGAAGCTTTGGTTGTAAATGCTGGATATCTTTTTGTATACTGTTCAATTTTCACATCAACAGAAAAGCTGCGGTTGGAGATCAATAAGGTGGTCGATAAATACATTGATCAAGGCATAGCTGAGCTGGTGCCAGGAGTGTTATTCATAGATGAGGTGCACATGCTCGATATAGAGTGCTTCACCTTCCTGCATCGAGCACTAGAATCCAGGATAGCCCCCATTGTCATATTCGCCACAAACAGAGGACGTTGTGTAATCAAGTAAGTTGTTGCCTTTTGTGATTGTTTTTCAGCATATTTCATAAATGAATACAGCCTCTCCTCACTTAACAATGGAGTTCTGTTCCTAAGACCACGTCGTTAAACGAATTCACCTCTAAGCAAGGAGCATACTATAATGGTAGTGGGTTTGTGTCAACCATCTTTGATATTGTTTTAATGTCATCTCTGCACCATTTATAACATTTTTAGTATATTTTTAAATGTTTATACAGTAGTGTCCTGTATATTATAATAAACAGAATAGAGGAAATCAGCTCTAATATACATTATTTAGGTATGCATGTTGATCAGAGAGCCAGTTGTAAGCCCAAGTCGTTGGTAAACGAGTACATCGCTAAGTGAGGAGAGGGTGTACTGATTTCTTAAAAGAAATGATTTAATTCTTACTGCTTCATGTCTTATGGACTTGTGAAGATTTTTCTTAGTATGAAAATGCTAAGTAGGTAGTATTCAAGAAGATATAAAAAGGCACCATACTGTGACTGGAGCAATACACAAATAACCTGCACAGAGACCAGAACCGGTCCAAGTCAGACTGGAATGCTGCCATAAATTTTTATTATTTGTGTATAGGGTTATTTGTGTATAGGTTCCAGGTCAGCTCTCTTATAAAAGCTCTTCTAGTGTATTATTTTGTAACTGCAATTCAAAAAGTGCATCATAAATTTAATAGCATCTACTGTGAAGTTCTGTTTAACTTTTTAATATACTTTTTCAGTCAGATTTATGAAAAATTGTTCTGTATTGGAAATATGTCAGCAGTATATTAAGCAGAAATACAGAGGAATGAAAACTGACAGTATTTCTTGTTAGACCAACATTAGTTTCACCCTATCAGGTCAGCCTTAAATAAACTGGTAAAGGCCAGTCTTAAACAGACAGGTACAGGCCAGTCTAAAATAGATGCAGGTTAGTCTAAAACAGGTACAGGTCAATCTAAAACAGGTACAGGCAGTGGAGATGTCATGTCAGCCAGGCTGTGATGACTGTGGGGCAGTGGGCCACCAGCAGCAACATTCTGGTTGACCAGGCAAGCACCAGATAAGCCTGGCCCATGGCCAGGCTCCAGGAGCAGAAAGACTCAAAACTCATCAAAGGTACATATCAAAGTAAAGGTAAGGTAAGGGAGGGATACATAGAGAATGAAGCACATAAATTAGAAGATAGTGTGAGGTAACCAAAAATATTCTGAGTGCTGAGAAGGTATTGAGGTAGTTTGGTCACAGAGAGGATGACCCAGAGGGTGTATAAAATCCGAGTTGGAAGGAAGGAGAGATAGGAGTCATCCCATGTTGGGTTGGAGGTAGAGGATAGAGGTTTTGAGTGATACGGGCTTGAGCATCCAGCGGGTTTGTGTGAGCATGATAGATTGAAATGAAAGGAGACAAGTGTTTTATTATGGTTTGATATGCTATTGGAGCTTGGAAGGGGAAAATTTTTTGAAGGGATT